TAAGACTCAGGCACTGTGTTCCTCACCTCCACTGTGGGGCTGCACATGTGTGAGGTAGGTGCAAGATAGTCAAATCTGAAATCTGCACAAACAGCCATTCGTTGGAAAATCATTTTCAAGGATCCCACTTCCCTCCGGGATGAGGTGCTCTACCAGGCCAAGGGTCCTGAGCACACAAAAGACTCTTGTCATTGAGGTGGCCCAGGAAAAAGTCAACAGACTCACATGCATCATGGTGACCAGGTGACAAGGGTTGAGCAGGTAGATGACGGTCTTGGTGGCGAACTTAAAGCCCACCTCCACCCCGAAGGTCAGGCACAGGGCTACTAAGAGCAGATTCTTGCTCAGGCTCTCCTTGCCTTCCTCTGGCCGCTGGGTCACCTGCTCTGGCTGGCAGCCACGGCCACCCCTACCGTCCTCCTTCGTCTGCCTCAGGATGTGCCGCAGGGCCACCAGGATCTCCAACAGGGCCAGGGTCAGGACCACCACACTCTCCAGCAGCCGCTGCTGCCAAGAGAGGAAGGCAGCACAGTCGGGGCCCCCATTGCCTGCAAAGCTGGGGTCGACGCCCCCATACAGCCAGTCCAGGAGACTTTGGTAGCTATACCGGGACATGATGCCAAGTGGTTCCCCTCGACCACCGTGCAGTAAGCAAGAGCGAGATGGAACACAGGCCCAGAGGGTTGCCCAAAGGATGGGACATGTAAGGAGGGCACACCCCCACCCCCGTACCCCCCTCCAGACGCCTGGGCACCTAGAGCAGGGGAAGGGAAGCTACACGCGAGGCCCGGGGTCAAGTGCTGGCTCTAACTTGTCCCCACGGCTGTCTGGGGAGCCCCCCGCGCTTCTCCAGTGGCCACCAACGAGGCAGGGTGGAAACGAGCCGTTGGCCAATCTAAAAGGAAGGAGAGGAAAAAAAAAAAAGGTCTCAAAGAGGCAATGGCATTGGGAATTACGAAGCGGGGAGCAGGTTAACTAGCGAGGGAGAAAACGGGATTGGGGACTGGAGCGAAGCAAGCGGGGGCCGGGGAAAGCCGGTTGCTGGGAGGGTCAGGGTAAGGGCCTAAGGGACCCCAGCAAGACAGCGGGAGCGAACGGGGTGGGGTAGGGGGGGAGGGCACTGGGGTGAGAGCGACCTCTCCCGGAGGGGACTCGGGAGGCCAGGAGAGGAGCTAGCGGGGCCGGGCAGGCGGGGAGGGCGACCGGGGATGGCAGGCAACCGGACTCCTCGTCTCGAGCACTTGCCACAGGGGAATCTCTTACTCCTGCAACCGCGTGGCCGTCTCTGCCCCCAGCTAGCAACTTCGCCGCGACGGGCCCCTCCAGCCAATTTAGAGCCTTCCCGGGCCAGCCTCCCGCCCCCGGGTACACCCCCG